GTGGGTGATAGAAACTGATAAAGATTGATAAAGACTGATAAGAGGGATCAGAGAGCAAGTGTCGTCAATTTATTTGTCGTTGGTACTGAAACTGTAATATCCGTACTTGGAAGTGTTATGAGGGCTGGAACGGGGTCATTGTTTGTGAGTGAAAGAGGGTGATACAAGTGATAAGGGCTGATAAGGGCGCGTTCGAACGCAAAAGTCGCCATTCTCTTACGTAGCCCACGTTGGCGTTAGAGCGTCGCTACTTACGAATGTTACGTGGTACCCGGACATCTTTGAGGGATTTCTGAAATCGGTAGCAACTGAGAGAAGTTGATAAGGAGCCTTAGAACGTAGTAGTTGCCATGCCGTTGCGCAGCCCAAGTTGACGTTAGAGCATCCATGTCGAGGAGATCATCGACCATAGCTCATTGCCATGCGAGAGTAGTGCCGAGAGTGAACATCTGCGCGGAGAGCACATACGGCACGGCAATTATGCTAATGGGTGATTGAAAGTGATAGCAAGTGATGAAAGCTGGCGAGAGACTTAGAACTGACAAGTCGCCAATACTGATCCGCAGCTCGCGTTCACACTGAAGATTTCCTATTTACAAGTATTATGTGAGGTAGGGCGGGGACATAGTTGATAACAATTTAGCTCAAACAGGTTTCTGGCGGCTAACAAATTGTATTACTAATTCTAATACTAAAAGGCTCAGAAGTCATTAGACCACTCAACCTTAGAATTTTCGAGCAATGTAATGCAATTCAAAGATTAGCGTTAGATTTCCACTTATCATAAGCAAGCATGTTTGCTTTTTTTGAGGCTAACAGCACGCTTATTCCACGCAAAATTATCAAAATTATCAGAATTTAATGCAGGGTGTTCAAAAGTTGTGATAGACGTACCAGCTGACCTTCGCTATCACGCGCATGAATGAAGGACTTCATTGAAAATGGAGAGTCTGCAAAATCTTAAGTCATTCCACTACTTTTTCAATAGTGAGGGAGTGAATCGGCTAATGTTACACGATTATACAGTTCCGCTTAGGCCTACCGCGTGATGCGCACGTTAGCGGGCACAGAAAGACTGGTAGAAGTACCATTGCCCTGGAAGCAGCAGTCAGGGGCCGGAGGAATGAAGATGTGGTCCTTTCGTAGCCAAAGGCCCTTTCGTGGCGATAGGCGCGCTTATTCAGCGCCCTGTGGCGCTAAGCCTTTCCGAACTCCGCTTCTGCCACCTGTGCTTTGTCGCTCAGGCCTTTCAGATTGGGTTTTCCATATAGAGCGCATACATAATAGTATGACTTTCTTGTGGAATGCGTTATCAATCAGAGCATGGTTCTTGTTAGTACGTGTTAGTTCGCCATGTACAAACGACCTCTCAGTTGGTTGCTAGCTCGTCCATTATCGGAGGTCAACGGGCAAAGAAAGGGGTCCCATTTTGCGCCTTCTTGACGGATTTCTTTGCTTTTTTCGCCACTGGGGCATTATTCAGCATCTCCACTTCCACTATGAACCCAGTCCAATATTATCGTAATCCCTCGCTTCAAGAGCAAGGATTGAAGATGTCAACTTGCTAGGAATCTTGTTGTTTTGCAATCGGTGTTACAGTACTCGCCGTTTGAAATCGAAAATTCACGCGAATAACGCGAATCCTCGTTAATTTCGTGAATTCGTTATAACTCGGGTCAGAGTGAAGTATTCCAGAAACGGAAAACACCGTTGAACTCAGCTCTTCAAGCGCTACAAGATGGTGCTAAAATATTTTCAGAAAGCTTGATTTCGGAATGCGCCATGCACTCGATTTCATCTCAAAAAGTAGTTGCTCGCATGTGATGTGTATATAATCCCGCTTATGCGGGCTAACCGCTACACACAAAGAAGGGCCTCAAAACTTACCCCAGAATGCGCCACGTACTCAATCTCATCCACTACATTGTGAGATTAGATGAATGTTATTTTCCGAATTCTTAGATCTTCATTTCGTTTTAAGCGCTTACTGGCTTTACGTGTTCCCTCTGCTCTCAATATCCCATCCTCTGTATATCAAGTGGAATCTTTGAACAGTTCTCAGCAGGCATAGTGGGCCTATTATGTGACATTTTCCATTTTCAGAGGAGATGTTTTGCAGAAAGCTGTGAAGATAGCGAACAATTTCCTTCACTGTCGTAGACTACGGTCACTTGTCTTGTCTGTAGGAATTATGTGGAAAACTCGGTCGCAAGTGAGCGTTCCTTCCGTGGTGTGGCCCCAAACATGCCTCCTCGTCATGTAAATGTGTTCATATTTTGTAAAAAATTTCCTGGAAGTATAGTTTGCGCGACTTATTATAACCAGTTTGGCTGCGCACGCATTCGCGTGCATGAGACGGGGCTCAGCGGTAAAATCGGGCCCATCAGTATTTTTGTCTTGATTTTAGCTTTCTGCTCGGTACATCTTACTTACGCCGCAAACTCCGCCCACATCCGGGTGTGCCACGCCCAGCGTTCACATTCAACCTCTACTCCTACTTTCACCTCTGGCATATTTTTTTCAGGTCTCTAAGTCATCTCGGAGCCGAATTATGAGGTCTTGTAAATGGCGTTATGAGTCACGAATTTCTGAGGCAGACCCCGCCCACTTTGGTGCATGGTTAGCCCAACAATGGCATTCAACCCTACTCCATACCTCAATACTTATGCACATTTTCCCCGGTCGCCGGAACTTCTAGGAACCGAGTTATGAGAGCGGTGGCAAACTCCGCCCACATCCGGGTGTGCCACGCCCAGCGTTCACATTCAACCTCTACTCCTACTTTCACCTCTGGCGTATTTTTTTCAGGTCTCTAAGTCGTCTCGGAGCAGAATTATGAGGTCTTGTAGGGGACGAAATCGAGCTACGTATCTTTGTGGCAAACCCCGCCCACTTTGGTGCGTGGGTCGCCCACTGATATCAGTCGGCTATCATCTCTTCCCCAACCTTTTTCTACTTTTCTCCCATCTCTGGAACTTATTGGAACCGAGTTATGAAGTACCGTGGCAAACCCCGCCCACTTTGGTGCATGCTCCGCCCGCCAACAACGGTTGACCCCTTTCCCTCTGCCAACCCTCATACGCTTTTTTCCCGGACTCCGGGACTCCTAGGAACCGAGTTATAAGCCTAATTGCAAACTCCGCCCACTTTGATGTAAGCCACGCCCATCCCTGACATTTAGCTTCCCCTCCCCTCCTGACCTCTATCCGTTGTTTTCCGGTCTCTAAGTCATCTCGGAGCCGATTTATGAGCTCTTGTAGAAAATGCTGTCCGCTTCACGACACGCTCCGCCCATTGTGGGCGGGCCTCCGTTCACATCATGCGTGGTGGAAATACCTTAGGCATTGCTCCCCTGCACTAATTTCGTTTCTGGTCTGTAGGCTTCCTCTTAACCGAGTTATGAATATTTTCACTGAGCACCCATTTTCTAGAGAACGCCCCGCCCACCGAGGGTGGGTCTCCTCAGTTCAATCTGGCTTACCAACCCACACCTATGCCCACTTTTGTCCCGGTCTCGAGGCTGTTTTGTGACTGAATTTGAAATCATGGTCCTCAGTACCACTCATTTCGACGCACGCCACGCCCACTGTGGGCGGGGCTCCGCTTAGGTAATGTATGTTTTTTACTTCTCGAGATATGGTACACCCATCCCAAACTTGACCTGGACCCAGTAGGTTGTTGTCCGCTTAATACGGAATTTCGTGACAGACAGACAGACAGACAGACAGACTTAGCGCATTATATATAGTAGGGATATATGTAGATATGTATTAGAACTTTATTAATGAATTTCTCCATTGTTTATACACCAGATTAGTCCCCCGTCAACCGCCGGGACCTTCCTTTCCTGCGCAAGCTTTCTATCCTCCGCTATGGTCCCTTCCTCCTGTGACACCAACACCTCCTGGAAGTGACGCGTATGCAACACAATGGTGTTTCATACAGTAGAAGGGACACAATCATGATATGACGGTAGATTTTTCGCTTCCCTTCCTCATCCTCCCTTCCTCTCTCCACTGCCCTCCAGCTGCCACTGCAGCACCATGTGGAATGAACGGAAGTGTGCTAAGCAGGTGTTTATATAGCCCTAAGAGTGTTATCACAACTATCCTGCTACAAAACATTGATATCTCAAATCCTGTAAGCTACCCGATTTGTTAGCGGTTTGTTTATCCCATGAGCTTCCTTCTCACTCATTTTGCGGACGGACACACATACATACATACATACATACACACACACACATACAGATACACAAACCGACACACAAAGTTAGCGCTTTATAAAATACCAGATTAGTCCCCCGTCAACCGCCGGGACCTTCCTTTCCTGCGCAAGCTTTCTATCCTCCGCTATGGTCCCTTCCTCCTGTGACACCAACACCTCCTGGAAGTGACGCGTATGCAACACAATGGTGTTTCATACAGTAGAAGGGACACAATCATGATATGACGGTAGATTTTTCGCTTCCTCATCCTCCCTTCCTCTCTCCACTGCCCTCCAGCTGCCACTGCAGCACCATGTGGAATGAACGGAAGTGTGCTAAGCAGGTGTTTATATAGCCCTAAGAGTGTTATCACAACTATCCTGCTACAAAACATTGATATCTCAAATCCTGTAAGCTACCCGATTTGTTAGCGGTTTGTTTATCCCATGAGCTTCCTTCTCACTCACTTCATTTTGCGGACGGACACACATACATACATACACACACACATACAGATACAAAACACACAAAGTTAGCGCTTTATATAATAGAAGGATAGCATATTCGTACTTATCATACCGTATTCCGTACTCCTACTATACATTCCTTTCGATCATGTGTGTGCCACAACAACGATAAGCAGTAGTAAGAGTTACTTTGAAAAGAACGAGCCGTTCAGTTGAGTTGTCACATACGGTTGCAAGGAAAATCGAGAATTAAATTAAAAGTGCGTTCGGGAATGCCGTGCCTCACCTCCTATGTCTGGAGCCATGATTCATAGTTCTAAAATTTTATGAAGGTCTGCTACTCATCTGTTGTCAGTGGAATAGGGACGAGTTGATTTTGAATAATTCATAATAAAATGGGCTTCGAAGTGCTGCTTTACGATCCGTTTAGAGAAGGCTACGTTGTCAGCGCTGCACATGTAGTGGGGAAAAATAACGGTAACAAGAGGTTGCCGGTGTCCGTTTTCTAGTTTCAAAAAACGGGTGTTTTTTATGCAGGTTCTATGTATTCATTTTGATATCTCACTGTTCCATCTTTGGTTTCTTCACATGAAATATGCCAGATCTACAGTCTTGAAACTCCACCCAAAAACTTCACCACTTCGCTCCCACGAGTTGTTCGATTGTTGTGTATTAGTTTGTTGGACGACAGAAGATTCAGGAGTCTGAAACTTGCGTTTATTACCTTCGCCAAAATTATAAGGAGGCTGTTTTTCAGCATAATAGGCGCTTGATCCTGATAGATGCTTTGTGCGATTGTACGAGTTATATTTCGATGAAACGTGCGAAAAAGCGGCTGGAGCTAGCTCGATGAACTCGTCGTTTTGCTCTGTTGGAACTGCTGTCAAAGCGCACTTTCTTGCAACGTATTGTTTGTAACACCTTATCAAAAAGATTACAAGCATGAGCAAATTTCACGATGCATGAATTTGAATTGAGGCAAGGAGTTAAGGGAACTGAAAAATGTTTCGCCGTATATGAATTCCAATATGTTATCGCATCCTTGACACTGTATGCTATTTGCTGTTGGGATGGTATTATAGGAAAGCAATGAGCCTGACTAGTGAAAAGCAGCTAGTTTGGCTTTCGCAAAAATCACAAGAGCAGGAATCACAATTTGAAGATACTCCGTACCTCTGCTGCTCAAGGATAAAGTTGGATAGTGAAGATCTTCTAAAACTCTTTCTGTCTCTGGTAATGCCTCAGCGGATGGGCCCTTGATAATAAGCACAGGGCATCAGGCCAAGGTTGGGAGCCATCCCACATTGCACAAATTGTTCAAAAGTCGCTGTCAACAGAATATCGGAAAACATCATATTAGTGAAGTGACAACATAGCTTCCCAAGCTCAATTCCTGTGGAGTGCTCTGTACTGAGTGTGTCAATGGGAAAGCATTGCTACGAGCAAGCAGGAAGATGGACTAGTTGAGCAGTCGCTCTTCAAAGTCTCAAACTTACTTGCCAACACCTCCTCACACAACAGGGGCGATGACTGTTTAGGATGTCCTCGTTTGTCTATCAACGTAGGAAGTGGCCGCACAGAGCAATACTGTTTTCTCTTTGGCAACTTCCCACCCTTTAATGGTGTTATTGATTTGGGACTTCTAGGCCACATTGCTTTTTTATGTGCAATTTATTTTGTTACCATAATTTTGCCTACCCTGTACGTACTGTTCTGTGGCCACAGATTACGACAACAACAGCGTAAAAGTTCGAAACCATCCGATGGAGCTTTGAGTGCAGATTTTAAGTGCTTGACTCAATGACGTCAGTAATTCGATGTTCATTCTTCGGCTACGTGAGGTTTAGTAACATTGGATTTTCAAACCTTCATTCTTATAAAATAACCACTCGTCTGTTCCGTCTAGATGTCTTGGTGTTAGCCTCTTAGCACCTCTACAAAACCTGCAACAACTATCAATCGCCCATGCAATCGCAGAGAAGCAAACGAGCATGAATCATTTCAGTATGGCGTGTGCTATTATGACAACACCGACTCCTTGACCTGCATTTGTTATGGTCATCTTTGCAACGACGCAACTCATATAAAAGTAGGTAAATCCAAACCTATTGTTATGTGTGTAAAGTTCAAGTTATATTTTGATGTACGGGGAGGATCTAAAGACAGAAAATTTTTTGCTCACCCACGGGTCTTATCATGACAAGGTACATAAGTGGAAATCATATGCAAAGGCGCGTCCAATTGGGCTGTTGACGGAATTCCATAATATTATATGCCAATCTCAGCTCAAAGCAACTTTCCTTCTTACCCTGCATCCTAACCCGACTTTACAAAAAATCTCCAAGGATAATGGAGATAATGGAGGTAATGTAGGGAAGTTAACTACTTTAATTTTTGCAAAAGAATAGCATAGAGAGGAAAGCTTTCTCGCCCATAAGTGCTAGATCATGCCCATGAATCTTCGGCAGCGATGCAGGCGACAACTGCTAGAAGCTCCTGTCAGGGCACTATTGCTTCATGATCACCAACAAGATGACCAGCAGAGACAGAAGTGCTTTCATTCAACACATTCCGTAACGAGATTGCATTGGGAATTGCTTAGGAAATTTTGGCGATGGAACTAGCTAGAGGAGCGCTCTCATCAGCTAGAAGGATGATAACATGTTTTCTGTATCGAGATGAAATCAGTGCTGTCTTCGGTATGTGCTATGGTTCACGGAATGTAACACTAACTGCCTAGATGGCAGAACATTGTCCTGCTTACAGGTTATCGACAATCCACTCAATATACCTCTAGGACACCGTACCCCGGAGATTTCGAAACGGTGAGTTGCTGGATGTGATGCCCTTATAGCTGCTTTGAAGTTGATGCTTAGTGAATGCGAAATAGTTCTCTGAAAACTCCGCGTGGTCTGTTCCTAGTAATAGATTTCAAAACCATTATGCGAAAAACTGCGTGAAACTAACAAAGGCTACAATTTGCAAATGTGTTTGATGAGCAAACTTGCCGGCCAGTTTCGATTCTTAGGATCCCTAATCATGCTCGAACGACTCGATTCGATGAAGTATTTCATTCAGGGAAAGAAACATCAGTGAACGGGGTCTGGTTCGGACTGTAGACTGTAAGGAGGGAGGTCAACGGACAATTCTCCATCCATACATTCGACATCCCTCAAATTTCTAAATCTTTGCCTGCCATTACATGGTCCATCCGAACGGTATGAAGTGTGTCTACGACAAATTTAAAAAGATGGATTTGTACGTGCACCCACGACGTCTGCTCTGTTTTAGCGAGGTAACGCGGTGCCACTGAATTGCACAAAGCAATAAGGCTGCTTTCATAGTTCGCGCGGTGCGGTCGGTGCGTCGGTGCCGACGGCGCCGACCGCACCGACAGTGTGAAGAGCGTCAATACGCGCTCTGGCGCATGACGCGTACGTTGGGCGCAGATGGCGCGCTCCGATCGATAATCTTGGTTTTGGTGTATTTCTTGTCTTTTCGATTTTTTTGCGCAGTCTTCCTTTTATTGTGTGTTTTCTGTTCATACTTATTCTTTATGTCTTGATGAATACTTTTCAGTTGTTCCGCGGACGAGCGACGTCGTACAACCTCGTGTGAATGTGGCTTTAAGGCCGCGTTCATAGTTCGCGACACCGGAGAGTAGGATAGTAGGATAGTCGGAGAGTAGGATAGTAGGATACTGAGCGACTGGCGATAGGAGAGTAGGATAGTAGTAGATTGCGCTGACAAGATTAGATACGTATCGACTGAAATCGCCGGAGAGTAGGATATTACGATATTACGATAGTAGGATAGTAGTAGATTCCGCTGAACAGATTAGATACATATTGATCAGGATATTAGGATAGTAGGATATTAGTAGAGTACGAGATTAGGATAGTAGGATAGTAAGCGACCACAAATAGAAAATCAATACTCCTATTATGCCTGTTTTCTTTTCCTGCCTACTTTTCTTTTGCTTTTTACTTTCTTTTCTTGAGTTCTCTTCTAGATTAAGTCACAATTGAATTTCCTGTGAAATCCAACAGACTCCTGTAGCCACGTGTCTTACGTGGGTGTTGATGACTTGCAGCTATTTAAACGTGTAGGTATTGATTTTTCAATTTCTCCATCCAACTCAAGTATCAGGAAGGGTGAGTTATGTTGCACGACTTTCTACCTGAGTTTCTCCCTCCAGGCTGAGCCTTAGAGAGAGAAACGCTGGATTTAATAAGAACAATTATCTTGCCGAGTCGGTTCCACAACATTTCTTCGATTCTTCTGAAACATAAGTAAGATTTTTGTGCTGTAACATCCATTGTGACTGTATTGTAACTGTACTGTGACTGTAACAACTATAAGTATATTTCAGTACTCCAAATCAATAGTCAAGGGCCGTTGACACCAATGCATCGAAAGTTTATTATTATTTTTGGTACCGAAAGACTCAAAATATCAAATAAAATATCAAAAATAATTCAAAAGGTCAATTCCCCTGCCTAAGGCTCAGTCACAAGTACAGTAATTGGCTCACTCACTGGGATGTTCCCCCCAAGGACATGGGCGCCGGTGCAAATTGAGCTCTAGGTGATTAATGATTTATGTAAATGTTCACAAGGAAACAAAATGTTAGTTTAATCATTTAAGGAGAGACACAAAAAATCATGAAGACACAACGTTGAGTCAAGAAAACAAGCTAGTTTAGCCCAAAATTCGGAAACAATGAAAACTTTTATAAATCCACACTGGTCGCTTAATATCCTACTCGCCAGCGATTTCAGTCAATATGTATCTGATATGTTCAGCGGAATAGCCTACTATCCTAATTCGCGTACTCTACTACTATCCTACTATCGTGATATCGTAATATCCTACTCTCCGGCGATTTCAATCGATACATATCTAATCTTGTCAGCGCACTATCCTACTCTCCTACTATCCTAATCGCCTACTCTACTACTATCCTACTATCGTAATATCGTAATATCCTACTCTCCAGCGATTTCAATCGATACGTATCTAATCTTGTCAGCGCACTATCCTACTCTCCCACTATCCTAATCTACTACTATCCTAATCTCCCCGTCAATACGTATCTTTTTCATTGTCGCGCACTATCCTACTCTCCGGAGTCGCGAACTATGAACGCAGCCTAAGGACCGGTGAGTTCATTCGGTGAACGGGTGCATGTTTCAGTAGCTCGTCGGTCGATTTTCCTGCTGGGGCGATAAACACCCTGGCCAAGATCCGTGCTCGCAATGATCTGGCCACTAATGAAGTCCACCTCGAGTAGTGGAAATTCGCCATCGAAGAAGATGAGCAACTGGTCTTAATAAAATTATAGAGCCCATTTGAGTAAACAAAATTACTTATGATGAACGGTATAGCCACTTTCACCCGGGGTAGTACCACGGGGTTCTACGAAGTCGCTTGTGCGCGGAACAACTGAAAAGTATGGAACGAGACAGCCTAACAAGAAAAAAAGAATCAACTAACGCATTAACTTCACATAGTTGGCTTACCACTTTGAATGAAACCACTAAATATATCGAACTTCTCCTAAAAATCTTAACTCGCAAGGTTTAAACGAACCAAGGAATACGGTTTATAAGAAACGTTATAAAGGAAGTTCAACACTACTTTTTTGAACACCACCTGTCACAATCGCGATTGACTCCTTCTCTTCGCTATGTGTTATTGTGGAGTAGGACAGGAATGGTATTGGTAATAATCATCGGTTGCTCGAGCGGGCGCCAGCAACGTCTCCATTCGTCCCTGTCGCGTGCAAGAGTTGTCCAGTGGACCCTCCTCGCTCGAGGGACACGAAGTCCTTCATTCCTTTCGTTCAGAGCTTTCGTGAAGAAGTCTGACCATCGGGCCGGCGGTCGTCCAGGTGTTGAAGTCGGTAACCGCTCTGGTCCAACGGTCATCACAAAATCGCATGACGTATCCCCGGCGCAGGTGATCTTCGACCGTTGGCGTAGTTCGGAACTCCGGATTCCTCACAGCACTTGTATTATTGTATTATTATGTATTATTCTTTATATTGAGTTGCATCGTCCTCTCGACAGCGCGTTGGATAACGCTGACCGCATGCTCGTCCTGCCTGCGCAGAGTCCAAGTCTCTGAGGCGTAGGTTAGGGCAGGAAGGACAGCGGAATCGAAGAGGTGGGCACGGAGCCGGATGTTCTTCGTCTTCTTCACTACTCCCTCGATGTTCTTGAATGCCGCTCGTTTCCTCCTGCTCAGCTCTGGAGCTAGATCGTTCATCATATTGATTTCCCGACCTAGGTACACGTAGCTGGAGCATTCGGTGATGTTCGTTCCGTTGAGCGTGAATGGGGCATCAGGAACCAATCCGTTTCGTCTTCGTTAGGTTCAGCTGCAGACCAACCTTACCACAGGCGCAGTCGAAATCAGCCAGCATTCGCTCCGCTTGCTTGTGATGATGTCCTACTAGTAAAATGGCGAGATTCTGCTTGTGAGATCCTGGTTATGTCCATACATTGAGCAAAGTTTAGGCGCAACTCCTTTGCCTATGCCATTATCATAATATTTCAATGTGATCACATGCTCAAAAATATTTCCCGTGAAAGCGGAGCACAGTAGTAGTGAAGCTCCTTACCACGTGAATGAACTTAGTTCCAGATCTCAACGGAGAGCACCAACGGATGGGGATTCACTTCGACTGCGCTGCCGTGGTGGAGTCGTAAGGTGAGATCATATTGCGAAATCGGGTAAAAATTATGTACTGCCTTTACCAGGCCATCTTTTCGTGTTCTCAAACATCACCAAATGCTAGATTACTATATCAGCAATAAAGGGCACCGCATTAGAAATCGAAACCTGGTTCTGTTACTAAAAACAGTTCCTATCAATCTTGAAATCACTGCGGAAGTTCAAAATTGAAAACCTTCACGCAATTACTATTGTAAACACTTTCCAGGTCAACCAAAATAAAGATGACGGCGAAAAAGAAGACGCTCAAAATGGAAACGAGTGAGTATAAGTTCTTCCCAATGAAGATCCAATCACTTTCAATCCTCTCAAAGTTTGACAGTTATCGAAAAGCTTCTTGGAGAAACGACAGTGTGTGACAAAAGCCACAAGATAACGCACGCTAGATGTTGAATGCGCTAACGGATGTACATCAGGGTCAATCGGTCGAAGAATCCTCAACGGCACGTTGAGGATTTTCGCCTGTTCCGCCACGCTCTCTCGTGCGGAGGTTCACTCTCGGCACTGCTCTAGCACAGTTCAAAGCCACGGTCGATCAATTTCGATCGCTATTCACTCTGGTGCTCGTACATACGAGAGTGGCAGGCGAAAAACGCAGCAGATTGTGTGCTATCAACATGTGCGAGATCTCCTGACTCTATCCATGGAATTAGCGTCAAAGAGGTGAACATTAACGATCGGGAAAGAGCAAGATAAAGAGTCCCGTATAATCTCAACAAATAGTAAAGAATGCTGTGCCTTAAAATTAATCGCTCCCCTTATAGTACGAGTGGGCGCTATGATTACGAATAGAGTGAATCCGAAAGATTGTTCGAGAAATTCTCTAATAGCAGGAGCTAGACAGGATGCAGTGAGAAAATATCATTTCTCAGGTCCCGTAACACTTGCTTTACGAAGGACAGGGCCTCAGGTTCTGTTTCCAAAAGCCAGAAGCTTAATAAGGAACTTGACGCCTGAGAGAAAAGCGCAATCAGCTCGGAACAACTTCCACAAAACAGCCTTTCAACTTCCTTGTGCTGGACAAGGCCATCGTGGGCTCAGGCACTAATTTCACGTGAGCAAGGAATCCCTCGGTTACAAAAAAAAAGAAGGTGGAGACTACCGCAACTCATTGGGGCAGAAAAAAGAGGTTACCTTGCCGCTGGCGCACATTAGCAAAATTTTCGTCGCAGAAATTGCTGCCGTGGATGAGTGTTTCCTGGCACACCCTAGATGTTCCTCCATAAGCAGAAGCAGGCCCACCTTCACTGCCCCATCGTCCTAAGACCTCATCTGCCATCAAAGTCGAGTTTACGAGGCATACCGTAATCGCTCCAGGCTGAAGAAGCGGCATAATTTCTTCAATCGCTTTACTAATGGATAACTTTTTAATGGCTGTAGCTCCTATGCAAGACCCGTTCGGACCAGAGTGAAAATCGTGCCGAGAACATCGTCTCAGCCTTACGAATCCCTCAATAGAAATCGGGATTTTGCGACCACCATTTGATTTGTGCTGCAAGTATTTGCACTATGCATACTTCAAAGTATGAATAATGAAAATATTTGCGGTTTGTTGTTTAATTAAGCGTGTCGTTGGAAATTTCAATTCTAGCCGCAGCTATCACTTCATTATATAAACCAGAAGTTTGGTGTGTCGGTTTGTTTGTGTGTATGCACGTCTGTCTGTCCGTCCGCAAAATGGTCGACTAGAGGCGAGAGATATCGTGATTGTGATAACATTTTCCCACCAGTAGATAAACAACCATCCAGTAAGGTCGAATTCATTTCAGGAGGGTGGCTATGGCTGTGTGAGTTGAGTCGGGTCTATGGAGGATCACCGCGCAACGTCGTACATACAGTAGCGGTCAAAAGTCTTCGCCGAAATTGTTTTTCGACTGTAACTTTTTTTCCGCTGAATCAAATCAATTCAAATTTTAATATGTTTTAGAGATAGTCCTACTTCACTTAAACGGCATATTTGTTTCGGATTGAGAAAGAATTAAGAATGGAAAAAATCATTTCACTAGAAATTCTCGCGTATGAGAAGTAAGGTTTCAAATTACTCTAGCAAGCTTACAATTCAACAAAACAATCTTACGCATGATGAATAACACTGGGCAGGTCCAATACTTTGTTAATGATCTTCTGGGTTCGCTGAAATACTAACAAGGCCTAAGTAAGGAATCAGTCATTGAATGCACTGTCTACTAGGGCAGCTTCCTCCACTTCTCTTGAAATTTGACGAGTTTCTCGCCCATATTCCCGGCTCTTATTTCCACCAAAGGTATCCCTACTCTTTCCCATAATGTTTCGATGGCGCTCGGGACATTGGTGTGAATTGTTCCTTTCGTTGAAAGCGCGCCATGCTGGCGAAGCCACTCCTTCACAGTGAAGGTGTGATGCTTTTGGTCGCACTAATGCTAGAAGGCGAGCTCAGTCGCGGGCAGCTGTCATACACGTGGATAAGAGCTCCTTCTAGAACCCAACTGTATAGGCTGCCTTCACATGATTGCGAATACTGCGAAGTTAGTCGGCGGTGAACTGGTCGGGGGCGAAATGGTGCTTACGCACACCTAAAGTGGGGATCCCCATAGGGCTACAACGTCCTGCGGACCAACGAGAGTAAATTCAAGATGTTTGCCGGCGACTGAAATAGGAATGTGTGCGGTCCTGAGGAAAAACGTTTCGATCCAAGGAATTAACTGCCGTATGTAAAACTTGGCGGAGGCTCGCGTGTGGTAGTCCGTAAAAGAAGTTTTACAACTGCACAGGATTAGAGAAGTGGTGAATGCCGACGTATCAGATAGATTCTAGAAGGAGTTTCGTATCCGCTCGTATGAAACTGTACGTGACTGAGTTCGCCTTCTAGCTATAGAGCGACCAAAAGCATCGCACCTTCACTGTGAAGGATTGGTTTCGACAGCATGGCGCGCTTTCAACGAAGGGAACAATTCACACCAATGTCCCGAGCGCCATCGAAACATTATGGGAAAGAGTAGGGATACCTTTGGTGGAAATAAGAGCCGGGAATATGGGCGAGAAACTCGTCAAATTTCAAGAGAAGTGGAGGAAGCTGCCCTAGTAGACAGTGCATTCAATGACTGATTCCTTACTTAGGCCTTGTTAGTATTTCAGCGAACCCAGAAGATCATTAACAAAGTATTGGACCTGCCCAGTGTTATTCATCATGCGTAAGATTGTTTTGTTGAATTGTAAGCTTGCTAGAGTAATTTGAAACCTACTTGGAATTTGCTCATACGCGAGAATTTCTAGTGAAATGATTTTTTCCATTCTTAATTCTTTCTCAATCCGAAACAAATATGCCGTTTAAGTGAAGTAGGACTATCTCTAAAACATATTAAAATTTGAATTGATTTGATTCAGCGGAAAAAAAGTTACAGTCGAAAAACAATTTCGGCGAAGACTTTTGACCGCTACTGCGTGCTGCATGCCGCGTGTCGGAAACCGCGCGACGAATTTGAGCGAGATCTACGCGTTTGATGCTTCACGCGCATGTGCATTCGCCAGCTACTTTTCTTTGTTTCTTTTCTCTTTCACTTTTGTTATGTGGGGTGGTACCTGGACATTGTGATGGGTGACAAAGACAATAGCAATTGATAGAAGCTGATAAGGAAACTTTGAAGGCAAAAGACGTCAATGCGGTTGCGCAGTCCACGTTAAATATAACCAGCCTAGCTTGAGCAGATTCTTGGCGAATGGTGCATTTCGTTGTTGATCTAATACCAAGGAGACCAGAATTCATTCAATGACCGAAACCTTAGGCATTTCGAACACTGTAGAAGAAAGATAAGTGTAGAAGCCCAATTATTATAAGTGAGCATGTTTCATTCTAATTTTGAGGCTAACAGCATAACCCTATTCACCGCTAAATTATCAGAATTCAGGAGAAATGCTCAGTGTTTACAGGGCTATGTGTGATAAAACCTGGAGAGCCCGCGGAACCTTAGGTCATGTGATGCGCGCGATACCGGGCGGAGCAAAGCTGGTATCCTACTATATATAAGCGGCTAGCGTGTGTCTGTTGGTGTGTGTGTGTTTGACCGGAAATTCATAGCTCGAGTCACAGTAATGATAGCGCAGTGGTTCTTACATATGTTATAGGGGGTGGGATGGGGACACAAGTGGTACGTGATAGGAACTGATAACGACTGATAATAGCTGATAAGAGGGGCTAGAAAGCGAGCATCGCCAATTTCGTTTTGTCGTTCATATTGGTACTAGAGCGTCTATACTTACAAGTGTTATGTGGGGTGGTCCCGGGACATTGGTGGTACATGATGAAAGCGATAGCAACTGATAAGGGCTGATAAGATGCGTCAGAACGCAAAAGTCGTCGATTCCGTTACCTGGCTCGCGTTGACACCAGAGCAACCATACTTACAAGTGTTATGTGGGGTGGGACGGGGACATTGTTGGTGGGTGCCAGAAAGTGATAACAACTGATAAGGGCTGATAAGGCGCGTCAGAACGCAAAAGTCGTCGATTCCGTTGCCTGGCTCGCGTTGACACCAGAGCAACCATACTTACAAGTGTTATGTGGGGTGGGACGGGGACATTGGGTGCCAGAAACTGATAACGATTGATAAGGGCTGATAAGGCGCGTCAGAACGCAAAAGTCGTCAATTCCGTTACGCAGCGTTGACACTAGAGCGTTCCTACTTACAAATTGTAGTAGTCGTAGTAGTACAAACAAAGGTACGTGCACATTGTTTCGATATATGACCAGCTTACTTAATAGCAGTCGATTGCATAAATTCAATCAAGTCTTCAGCAAATGATAAGTTTCATTTCTATCAAGAAAGCCCAAACTCATTAAACCGCTAATCCTTTCGGGGTTCTAAATAATGGTGAATGTAAATAAATGATAAGCCTTAGCTCCTCACTTATGTAAATAGGCATATTTCATTTTAATTTTGAGACTGACAGCAATCCTATTCACCGCTAAATTATCTTAATTCAAGAAAAATGCTGGATGTTTACAGAGTTGTGATCAATATACCAGTTCAGCTCAGACGTTATCACGCGTATTCTCGATGAGCTTCAGTGAAACTGTGGAGGGTCTAACACAGTCAATAGTGAGATGGTTAATGGAGTATCTCATGCTGATATTCCATGGGTCCTCCAATTTCGCTAAAGCCTGCCGTGTGATGCGCGCGATAGCGGGCGAAGCAAAACTGGTACTTAATAATCGATACTGCGAATGCGAAAGTTCGTAACC